TATCTCGAGTGTACGGAACTTGAACGTCACAGCAGAAGGAAAAAAGGTGGGTATTGTTATCTGAACTTTGAGCTCTACCCAAAGAGTTGAAAATTGGTCGTACTAACAACGGCACACTGAAGAGTGATTGTATCACTATTGTGTTTTTTTTTGTGTTTTTTTTTTGTTTTTTGTACAAAGTAATAATCATGAGTAATTACAAGTAAAAGATATTGCAGTCAGAGGGACACAGTCTGACCATTTCTGGGGCATAATATATAGGTTCGTACTACAGGTGTTTTCTAGAGTGACGGCCGCCTCGCTGAAACTGCTAAGAAGAGTAAAAACAAACTTCCATAAAAAGTGAAAGGGTTTATGGTATATTTCATCTATCTTCAGCCTTTGAAAAAAATTTCTTCTTGGCCACACGTGCATTTAGTTTCTGTCAACATATGTAACTGAAAACTCGACAGCAGACAAATATCTGGCGTATCAGCAAAGAGAGCGGGAAATACCCGGAGATTGACCCTCAAAATCACAATTTTCTTCGCGTAAAATAGTGCAATTAGCAATAGTAGCACATTATGCCCTTTATTAAAAGACAGCAGGTATTACGAAGTTTTCATTATCTTCTTTTCGCATTTGTTCGCTGATGAAGAAATGGAATGCCCAGATAGCCTCTGCAGCCCTTGCATCATAATTGTTCGGGGCTCTGTCAGGGTGGGCGAAGGCCAGCGACCATCTCCAAAAAAAAAACTGAGGAGTTCGGAAGGTGCATTATCGCAAGTTTTGGGGCTGCTTGGCTAATTTAGGCGTCTGGCGTTCCCCGCCTACTTAGAAAAGAAGCGGAACAGCGGCCAGGTCAACGTCATTACCAAGCGGGAAATCATGCCGAAATGTGTCCTTGAACACGTGCGAGATCTTTACCCGAACCCAGCCGGGATTTGCCACAATTCCTAATTCATCTATGAAAAAACCTATAAAAAGGGGTAGGCTTAAACGATTTGTCAATTTTTGAATATAGTCATGCGGACTAACTTTCCAAAAGTACAGAAAGAAATGCAGTAGAAATGCAGAGCTCCATTGCGTTATTTATGTCCATACTTGTCTTTCGCGCTGTACGCCAATTAAGATAAATTCTGCAATATCTGTAGATTATGCCTGGTTATGTTGTCTCTAAAAGAAAAGTAAACAAGCAAGTTCGGTATCGTGCCACAATTTGTGCAAATACAATTTTATGTGGAATTCAACGTCAAAACAGTACTTCCGCGGGAAAAAATGCATCCGTCGTTCTTCGCCTTCCTGAAGCTATGAACTACCGATCTCGGCTACAGGACTTTTGGGTCTACAAAATATCACGCTCAGTAGAAAATTCGCTTTTTCTACCAAAAGCGCTGGAAATTATTTATTTTTCGAACAGGTCGGGTGGTGATGCGTGTTTGAGTGTAGGACCGTTGACTGGGCACTAGTTTGCGCCAAGAGTGCAGTGCTTCCTTTCATGCTTCCTGCGACAAGTGTTGAAATTTGAATATAGTAGAAATAAAATCAACTGACACTCTTAGAATTATTTTAAACGCGCTTTCCTCAGGCATTAAGATTTTGATCGTACCTTTTGTTCATTGTCGTCTTCGATGAGGGAACAACTCGCCGAGGAGGCCGCGCTGTCCGCGTACGCGGCTTGACAGATAAGGTCGCGAATGCTTTTCACGAATCTTTAAAGTTTAAGCATAAAAATGAAAGACGCTTACGAATCTCTGTAACGCGAAATTAAAGCGCAGCTGCTTTACGCCAATGAAAGCAACTTTATTTTTGGGCAGCCGTCTTGAGAGAGGTGGAGTCTTCTTAATTATGCCTAATAAATTAAATGTTTAAGACTAAATATCAAACTTTTTTAAATGTATTAACAACCGAAATGTCAGTTGGAAAGTTCTAGAGCTCCTTGAAAAACACCCGAAGTAGCTGTCTGCAACGTGATACGGCTCGCGTGGCTTTCTTCTGACTAGTAATAAAGCTTATGAAACATGACAAAATACTTCGTGATAAAGCGCCCGCCCCATCATAAACTCAATTTCGAATTGTTTTTAATTGTTTTAAACTTGTTTTTATAGGCCGTAAAAAAAAAAAAAAAAGAGATGCATGCAAGATGCGCGCCCCTACGCTTTATTTATATCAGAAAAGAACTGCCCTCTGTTTTATATACAACGTTGTTTTTATTTTTTTTTTACCTATTAGATATTACAGAAAACGTGCAAATTAACGTTTTGTGGATGTAAGCTATACGGCCAGGCGAAAATTGGGTTCAAAAAAGAACGCAACAAAAACCGACTGATTACCTAACATTTGTTAATTAACTTTTTGATTACAAAAGAAAACGGGATTGTTGATTTATAAAGTTGTTGGGCATAATCGAAAGCCACCAAATTGTCCAGTGAAAATTAGCGCCATTGCGGTTTGTGTAGGTGAGCTATACCGATTGGTGTAATCTGAGCTAGTTGGTTACTCATTATGAAAAAAACCAGCTGAACTAAGGAAAAGGTAGAGATAGAAAGAAAGACACCCGATCGCTGGACTACCAACTGTTTTTATATATAAACCTCCTCTTCATCAAGAAGGAGATGAAGAAGATGAAGAGGAGGTTTATATATAAAAACAGTTGGTAGTCCAGCGATCGGGTGTCTTTCTTTCTATCTCTACCTTTTCCTTAGTTCAGCTGGTTTTTTTCATAGTGAGCTATACGGCCAGGCGCGGATTAGGTTCAAGAAAGAACGCAACTAAAACCGTCCGATTGCCTAAACTTCGCTAATTAACCTTTTAATTAGAAAAGGAAACGACATCGTGTATTTAGAAAGTTGTTGGCCATAATCACAACCCACCAAACTGTCCATTCTTAAAAAGATGTAACGCGCGACGCGCGTACCCTATTGTACGGCGTCCTGATACGGCGTCCTCCTAATTTGGGTGCGAAAATATAGTTCTGATTTTATGTGGCCTCCATCTCCGCGTGGCACAGCCTAACGCCATGAAGCCAAAACGACAAATCATGCGCGTCCCTGTGACAACGCCACTGTTGGGGGGGGGGGGGGGGGGGGGGGGGGGGCGAGGAGTGCGGCGGCCGAAAAGATTGCGGGTAACGTGATTCGCGTCCAAATTAGGCTTTTTAGGACGCCGTGAACCCTTCACGTGCACTACATTTCTTAAAAAATGAATGATTTGGTGCTTTTGATGACTACAGATAAGATACAAACCGCAATTAAATAATTCCGACGTCTTTTTTAGGAAAATGTCTACTCGTTAAAAAAAAATCGCCCTTTATAAAAGCACGATTGTAAGGGAGTTCTTTACGTCCGGCGACATCATTACGGCATGGAAGGAGGCGTTGACCACAGATCATACGCTGTGTGTGATCTGTGGTCACTGTTGTTTTTTTTTGTTGTTTTTTTTTCGTACGAGAATGAGCAAACATTTGATACCAAATAAAATAGATTTAGCATTCACGAAATTTGGCTTGTTTACTTGCTTCAAATCGATATTTGATTTGATTACACTTATTTTGTACCCGTACACGCCTACTTTATTCCCTAATGAGTTACAAGTGATAATTACATTGTCTTTTTTTGTTTTGTTTTTTTTTTGTCGTGCGAGGTAATTACAATTTATTATTAACAATCGGAGCTATGCGATTACGCGGAGGAGGCGCATTTGAAGATATTCAAAATTGTTCGGAATACACAAACGACCTCAAACGTCTTGCTGTTTGGGTCCTTTCCTACACGCAGGACCAATAATAAAGCCAAAACTTTATAGAGGAGACTATCTCTATCAACTCAACGCGCAAACACGATGTGAAGCGTGTCTTCGTACGTTGGAAAGGAGATACCGGCGAGCAAACTATAGCGTCGAATGTCCATGCATCAAAATGTCCGTGCACCGAAATATCCGCGCACCGAAAAGTCCCACAGCAAAAAGTCTTTGCAGCAAAAAGTCCGTACACTGAAATGTCTGTGGACCAAAAAGTCCGCACCGAAATGCCCTACAGCAGAACGCTCTACACCGAAAAGTGCTAGACGCACTACGGATGGGATCCTCCGTCACCTCTGCCGGTTTACGAGCCATAATGATTCAGAACCACTGGTCTATGGAGCGCCGCTCGTACTTCCCGTTGTCGAAAGATGCCAAATCAGATATTTATATTAAAAATGATACCTCAATGACTACTTCTTTGAGCGGAACAAGGTATTTGTGCTCTCACAACAGCAAGAATCGTCCTCCAAACCAATGCTAAAAAAGAGCCATTGCAACTCGTTAGGAAGAGCAAGTGCCAAGCTCGCTCAAAACAGCTACTCCGTTCTTTCAGCTCCTTGTCGCAGGTGTGCCGACTGGCTTCTGGATAATCTTTTCTAATCCTCGAAGCTTTCATTTCCTCCACCCCAAACTTGTCAAAAAAAAAGGCAGCCGCCAAAAAACAAAAGCAAAAACAAAAAAATCGGAAAACGGCGAGGAGGAAACAAGAGGCGATTTCCTCCTTTCACAGGTGGCGAGAAGGAAAGTGAGGGTCGGGTTCCTTCTCTCTGCTTGCGGGCCGGCCTTTAATCACCAGGTTGCTCTTCTTCTCGGACACGGGGAAAAGCCACGCACAGCAAGACGTGGGTGGGTGAACCCACATGGCTCGGGGTCCGTGGTGACGCCACTCACCAAACACCTACAAGTGAAGGTGCCCCCTGCGGGACTGCTGCCAATGTGAGTGCAGCCTTAGCCGATAAGGTCGCTGTAGAACGAATCACGAAGCGTTAAGGTACTACTTTAGAGAGTTATTTTTGCACATCCGAAACGGTACGATGAGCGCTCCGGTACGAACTGCGCATATGCTACAGAAGAAGTCTCGCACACGCGCACTTCGTATGGGAGCGCCCACCGTAAGGTATAGGATATGCAAAAACGGTTTCCTAAATCTCTCTAATAAGCCACGCTTTACGTTTCTTAAGCTGTCAGCGACTATAGGCATCCAGCGACCAGCTTCAGAAATGCAGGATGTGGCTTATAATGTTAACGGTACTTGCTCCGTGATTAGTTTTGCGGCGTTCGTGTCGGTTAATGCAGCAGTCTTATTGGCTGCAGAGGAATTAGGGTATGCTCTAGAGCCTTGCGTTTCTTAAAGTGTCAGTGAGAATGATACTCAAATGCCTTTGCAGCGTCGGAGGACTAAGCCGGTCTCTTTTTCTTGTTTCAGGTGAGGACGTGGGCTACGAAGCTGGGCGTTTCGCAAACATCCGTCTATGTCTTCAGCACGCACAACTTCAAGCGACCCGAGAATGAACTGAACGGCATTTTCTCGGAGACAGTTACCTACTGCCGCGAAATTATAGACGACCCGTAAGTTAGACGCCGCGAGTATTTCCGTGGCGCCCGACGATTAACCGTCGGTTGTTTTAATGCCGATTGCAGCGCGCGCCAGAAGCGTCGAGGCTTTAGGATACGTTTTGTCGGAGACTTGGAGATGCTGCCCCGTGACGTGCAGCGGACAGTGGCGAAGGCGGACATCGCAACTTCAGGGAATAGTGGGTAGGTATTAAGGCTGTCGTTCGAATCGAATACAGTCATGTGTTTCGGTAATTAGTGTATGGGGAGGGGGGGGGGGGGGGAGAGGGGGGGGGGAATTGCCCCCACTCCCTCCCCTTGGGTCCCGCCCCTGCTTGTCCGTAACATGTTAGTATAGTTACTTCGCCATAAGTGCTATTAAAAATAACGGCGGTGTAAGACGAAACTTCGAAATGGTACAATTTTTAAAGTTTTGCTTTGCGGGCCGACGAACAGAAAGATTAGCACATCCGGTAGCTGCTATACATGGCTTGCACATGACCTCATTTCCGATGACCTCTACAGAAAAGGGGAGGAAGAAGCTTTCCTCTTAACAGGATCCTCCTTTGTGCCTCCCGGATAACCACAGACGTCGCTGTTCTCCACCCAGAAGATTATAGAAGATTAACCTGTCACTGAAAATTCTTACGAAAGCAGCTTCCCTCTCCTCCTTTTAGATGGTGTTCAAAAATATGCGATGTGACGTCAGTGCAAGGAGCCTATTGACCTCGTTTTTTTAACGCTTGCGAACTGCATTCAAGCACCTACACTAAAATATTCAATGCCCACTTGAGATGGGAAGTAACCAACTAAAATAATCAAAGTTGCTGTTATTGGTTACAAATGCAGTTGGTAAGCACTGCGCAAGTTACAATGACATTTCAGTAATTCGCTTATAGTCACGACACCTTAAGAAATGCAGGGGGCATGGCAAGTTTCAGTTATTCTATTATCGTTCCACAATAAATGAGATTGCAGTAGTGGTCGGTAAGGTAGCCAAAAAACCGATCACAAAGCAAGAAGCGTGAACATAATAAACCAGACCTCGAGTTTCTTGAACTGTCCGTGAGAATTGGGCATTCTTACAAGTATTAACTTTGCTCCCTTTACGTTCTTGGCAGGCACACAATGACAGTTTGCATCGCGTATTCGTCGAGGCATCAAATGACACGGATGACCTTGAAAATGGCCCAAGCTGTGAAGACTGGTGTTCTCCATAGTACGTAAGTTGGTACAAGGATAAACTTCTTTTTTTTTTTTAGATCCACTTTACTCTTTTTTTTTTCTTTTTGTACGACGAGCCAGCGCGAACAGTTTGCTCAGTCAACAGCGAAAGTCGCAGGGTCGAAGTTTACGATCTGTTCCTTGTTTACCGAGTGATTGTTAGCCTCAATCAGGTTAACAAGCACCACGCTGAAATTTTAGGTTTTGTATTTTAGTCACTGCCAGATTAAGGTGCGAATGACGTGGCTTTTTATCTTCGGGGTTCTGGTTTTGCGATTCGTTCTTCGACCTCCTCGTTGCCTGATGACGTGATGTCACAGGGTGAGGACCGATAAGATGCTCTCGACCAACGGTGCCCAGAGTGACATGGTTTTAGAGCCACAGACAAAACTAAGAAAGTTCACAGAAATCGTAAAAAAAGAAAGAGAGAGGGGGGTTACTTTTTTGACATTCTTTTTATACCTGTTTTACTTTTTTGGATATGCTACGCATTTATAGCGCATATTTTTATTTTTTCCGTGACTCTTCATATTCATGCTCTTTACAGCTCTTTTTAGATGTTATAGGACTTTTTAGAAAGTGGACGTTGCAATTTCTTTTTTTCGTTTTTGGCACTTTGTGTTTTTTGGTGTTTTTTGTTATCATAAATTTTTTGTGTCTGTGATTGCCCTGCGAATTTGTAGGTCACCAATGACCTAGTGTGATTACCTGGTAGGATGGCTTCCATGTTTCTGCATTTCTGCATCAGTGACTCGATTTTGCTCCTTATGTACACTAACAAAAACTTTTTGCTCAACCACGTGTCTGTAGGGGGTCGAGGACACGTCAAGCTGCTCTATAGCAGCTTTTTTTCTCGGTCTGCCCCATCTTTGATGGAAATAAAGGCAATTATTATTATTATTAAGAAAAACGTATGGAGGGAACAGCCTTTTCCATAGGGGACCAGTATAATTGTCGACTACAACCAATTAACCCGGCAGCAAAACGTTTCTTTAACTGCTAAAAAAAAAAAAAAAAAAAAAACTTTCAGCTTTTTTATTTTGGCGAAGAAGGGAGAGCAGCGGAGCTGTACTATGTGCCGCCATCTATGAGCGACGGCGGCAGCCGGACAACCGTTCTGGTTGCCGCCGTCGCTCATAGATGGCGGTAGCTGTCCGGAGGGTTGTGTCGAGATTTATTTGTCCACGGACACGAAACTGGGGAACCTAGTCCTTAACAGCTCCGCTGTGAAATGAAGGCATGGTTCGCTAGTCAGCCAGTGCCCCTGATGCCCGTTATGCGTATACGGTTCGAAATTCTCTCTAAAACAAAAAGAGAAACAGGTTCACTGAACACGTCTATGTGTCAAAAACACTTCAGTTGTATGTGCGTAATGTAGAACAAAACTGCCAAGACTGAGATTTTTTTTTTTTTTTTTTTTAGAGCGCAGTTTTTAGGGTCTTGTTCCCGTGTTTCGCGGCGTCGCCGTCGGTGTAACCGCGCGCGTTGCATTATGGGACGTCACATACCTAAACACCTATTCAATTGGCCGCTAAATTTAGCGAAGAAAGTGAATTATTGTGTACACCTGTGACGTCCCATAATGCAAAAATGCGCATTCAGTTTCCCCGCTAAACTTAGCGGTAAAACTGATGTCACATGACATCAACACCAATTCAGTTTCCCCGCTAAAATTAGCGGGAATCGAAATGGTGTAGAGGCCAGGTGACGTGAATTATCCCGCTAAAACTAGCGGAAAAACTAAATTTGTTCATAGGTGACGTGGCACGAAGTGATGTGACGTTTTTTTCCCGGTTAAATTTAGCGGGCAAACTGAATTGGTGTTGAGGTCACGTGGCGTCAATTTTTCAGCTAAATTTAGCGGGGAAACTGTGGGAGGAGAGGAAGAGGAGGAGGGGAGGAGGAGGAAGGGAGAGGAGGAGGGGAGGGTCCGTCCTCCACCTCTTTACTTTCCCCTCTTCCTGCTCTCAACTGCGACGAGAGGGTACGCAAGAGGAGGAGCTCCTCCTCCTGCGTACCCTCTCGTCGCGGTATATCGCAAAATCAAAATACTATTTCAAGAGCTGCGCTCTAATTTTGCATTACAGAGACTTGAAAACGCTTTTCAATTTTTTTTTTTTTAATTCTAGGACTTCGTCTTGGGTACACAGGAGAGGAAAAGGGACCCGCTTACCAGGGAGCCGCGATCCGCGCTTGGACCCGCAAAGAGCGGCTCGCTAGCTGCAGTTTGGCTATCCCTGCTCTGGACCCCAACGCCCTTCGTTTATTAAGCTCTGAGGGGCTATGCATATAGGGTGACTTTTGTAGATTTTTGATGTAAAGCGAGCCGGGAAATTCGACGCCAGCACATATAAGGCGCTAAATTTCACCGAATATACATTATCAATAAACTTGTCAGGGTCAACGGGGAACGGGTTCGCAGATGATCGAGTTAACGGTGCCTGTAGTGCGTGGCGCCATCTCCCGACAGACTCGGACAGCCGATGAAACACTCAGCCACCTGTTCGCTGCGTCTATCGGGAGATGGCGCCACGCGTTGCAAAAGTCGCTAACTCGGTTGTCTGCGAACCACTCTGCCGTTGACCCTGGCAGGTTTGTTAGTCTCCATTTTTCGCTGAGGGGGAGCCATGCCATAAAATTTCATCAGCTAAAATGCAGCACCTCAAAGCAGATTCGGTGAAAGTTTGAGCCTTCTATGTAAAGGCGTCCATTTTTCCAGTTCGTTCTGCAGTGTAATGGCGAATTCCATTGGTCGATTGGAGCGCGCCGGGATCGACTTTTGTGGAGCGCGCCTATTTAACTGGGCGATCGGGATCAAGACAGATGTGTTCCACGTCGTTTCGGATCAATCCCACTCGAGATCTCGATCTGGATCCGAGAAAAGTCGCTCCGCCGGTTTCGGCAGATTCGACCGCAAGCCAGCCTGGCCAGCCCTCGGCGTGCTCACTTGACTTCTTTCTCGCCGGGGTCACCGGGCATCTCGCCGGGACCGAGAGAAGGGGATTCCCGGGAAAGTGAATGACGGGAAGGCATTTACCGACAGTGGCGTACCAACTTGTTTTTAAGTGAGGGGCAAACCAACCCTCCCCCTTCCTCACCCCCCAGGGCCGGGGGGCGGTGCCTTTGGTATCTCTTGGGCGCCGCCGGCCAGTGCTTTACCTGCCCAGTGGCGGTTGTTTCAGGGGAGGGGGGGGGGGGAGCAAAACACATGCCTTGCCCCCCCCCCCCCCCCCCCCCCCCCCCCCCACTCTGAGAGCTGGGGGGGGGGGCGGCAAGCGCCCTCCTTGCCCCCCCGATGGTACGCCCATGTCCATCGATCCCGGAGGAGTGGTCATGTTCTACGGGGGATCAGGAGGCGGAGGGACTCCGTTCGAATCGAGTGTTCCATCTCGGATCTTGTCTACTAACTCCGGCGTGTTCTAAAACGATCAGTGAAATTCGATTTACTATCTTTTAGAGCAATCCTCTATATACTCTTTTATCTATTTCTTTCTACTTTGACGAGCAGGGACATAACGCCCCAGCTCATTGACGAGTACATGAACATCGAAGACGCACCCGAGACCGAGATGCTGACCAGGACATCCGGTGAAGCCCGACTGAGCGACTTCATTCTCTGGCAGAGCGACTTTGCCATGCTCTACTTCGAGCCCAAGAACATGCCCGAAGTGGGCTTGTTCGATTACGTCAAGGCGATAATTCACTACCAAATACTCTGTCAGTTTGACCGGGTAAGTTTCATTGTTTCGATCGAGTATCATCAATGCACTTGCGAGGTAATTAAAAAGTAGGTTTCTAAAAACAGAATCCTAGCCAATTCTACAGTCCTTCAGTACCAATACCGTGTAAAAGAAAGCACTTTCAAAGTTAGCGCACAAGCAGATTGGCGCGTCAGTTAAGTCTCAAATGGTCGCAAGCCCAAGGATTGGCAGGCACTCTTTCCTACAATCTTAGCTAAGACTCTGCTTCTAACAAGGCATCCCAGGTCTCTACTTAGAGTTACATAAATAGAGCAAACGTGTTATTCCCATAGCCTGTTCGATATTCACACGAGAAATGAAACCTCGAAGCAGACATGACAATTGCGATAGTGTTGGTCGTTTTTCAGTTGGTCTTCAGTCTTTCTTGGGTCTTCTGACCCCCCATCTAATTGATCTTAAGTTTCTGTCGTTTGTGGAATATACCAGTTTATAAAATGAACATTACATCAGAAGTTCCGAAGATCGTGAACTAGGGCGAGCATAGCGAACACATACTCAAAGTTTCCTCTTCTTCACACATTGTTCTAGACTTACATATAAGCATTTGACAACCGACAAGTGACTTTGAAAAGGGCACAGATCACCGTCACTTCTGGACCAAGGAATATATATTCCTTTAAATGCAGGTCACCGGCAGGACACGTAGCACAGTCTAGCGCGGAATTCTCACAACTTTAAAACATACCACAGTCGTGTTCACTGATCAAAATCCCGAGATCTAGCGTGACGAAGTGCTCGCGCCAGATCATTTTAAGGCAGGTACTGCTCAAAACACCTTTCTGTCATCTGTACGCTACTTCATCACACCATAATTAGATGTGGCGCCGCAGGCCTTCGTTAAAAGGGGTACTTGCCTTTCTGCGGCGCCGTGGGTCTCTGAACCAAAATAAATATTAAAGTTGAAAATTCGTTTTTGGTCCCAAGCCGCTCTAACGCCTCCCTTTTGCTCTGTTAACTGCCCTGACAATATAATCATAATCAGTCGCAGTTTTCTTTCCTCTTGAGGATATTAGCCAGCATCCTTAAGCTTGGTTACCCTCTTCGTTACTCCCTCTTTTTCTCAATCTCTCTTTCTGAGGACCTTTCCAAACTTTCTGCTTTCCCCGCCGATCTCATTCAGATCACCAGACAGAGCCATCGCCGGGTTGAAGACGCCAGAGGAAAGACGCAAGACGCCGCACAGTTTCTACGACAACGGATGTTTCTGAAGAGAGTGGAAACCGACCGTGTCTCGTATTTAGAGCGTCTTGCAGTCGGCGACGAGAACAGTTCTTGAGAGTTAGAACTGTCTCTTTTACCGGCGAAAAGACCGTCACGCTTTCGAATCCACCAAGCGAAGCAGGGCTCCGCTCTGCAGTTGTCACATTTCAAAGGTCCGTACTAGTCTCACCACGGTCCGGAGTCAACGTCGTCGTACCCTTACAGGAGGTGGGTGACCCAGTTCGGCCAAAGTCACTGGAAGCTTATTAAGGACCTCGGAGCATGGCTTATTAGGGAGTTTCAGGGAATCGTTTTTGCACATCCGATTCCGTACCATGTGCCCCCCGGTACGCACTGCGCATGTGCGAGCCTTCTGTGGCAGCTCATGCGCAGCTCGTACCGGAGAGCCCATCGTATCGTATTCGATGTGCAAAAACGGTTCCCTAAAACTCTCTGTTATGTTTTTTCTTAGGCATTCTTATCGGCTGATGTTAAAACTCATTGGCTTATAGGCGTGATAATAAAATGCCCAGGGCTTGCCAGGCCTAGCTTCCCCTAAGCTGTCAGGAATTATACTCATATAGCTGGAGTGTCAAGCTATCCTACATGATTTCTGTGACGGCCGTCCAAATAAATAGCGTAACTCTCTTTCGGTATGGCTCTGTTTCTTTGTAGAAATTGGTTTGGATAGTCGAAAGTAAACTCGATACAATTATTGAACGTAACTCGTGTCCTTAAAGGTGGCTTACAATGCGGCTTTCTGCACACCCTTTAGCCTTAATGGCATCGGCATATGACAGCATAGGTCTTGCCGTCAAGCGGCGTGGCAACAACCTTGGCCAGCGTTGGCAGTGCAAAAGAACTACGCAGGTCATAGACTACCTTTGTGGTTCTTGCCAAAAAGGTGCACTTAAAAAAAATTACCGGAGTACGCTTAAGCTTCGCCTTTAATTGCGGGACGCGAAAGCCGTGCGATTTTGTCTGTGTCTATTCAATAGCGTGTCTATTCAGTAGCGTGTCTGGCTCGCAACCGCAGGGTCGTCGGTTCGTATTCGGCCTAATATTCTTCAAATTGTTTCTTTAAGGCAACTGAATTACTTTATAAAGTGAAATAATTTGAGCCATGCCGCGGCCTTTAATCGGCATCACATGCCATGTTTTAATCATTTTCATTCCACGCGTGACGTCACGTTTCACGTGAGCTTTGTGGGTTGTTCGAAATTCCCGCGCGAGGTCATCTGGCTGTGACGTCATAACCCTATTGACCAATCAGGATTTTTGCGTCCCACCGACGCCGACGCCGGCTTTACTGCGACACGAGCTCCTTAACGCTCTCGCGTTAAAAATAAGAAATATAACGATGTATTAAAAACGCAAAAAAATTCCAATGTAATTTCGGCTTGTTAATGACTATATCTTGGTTCACTTTTGAAAGCGCTGTACGTAGTTAATTGTAGCTTCAGTAATTCATTCAATTACACAGGGAACCGCTAATGATCGAATCTGCACAGGAGAAAACAAATGCTTTAATCCCCATCACTACTGACTTTACTTCAAGGTTTCGATCTGAAGGTAGGAACATTTACATAGATATCGTATGCAAGAACTATGGCGTAAAGGCATGAAATAATTTAAGCTACTGCGCTGAACGCGCTTGAAGTAGTTTAGTTGAACGAATGCTGAGGTTAAAGGCTGCGGCGTGTAGTTTGAATCGCCCTGACATACTGACACATTACGCAAGCAAAATCGAGACCACGGGGTTTCCGAACAACAAGGAATTCAAAAGAGTGCGACATCTGCTCGTTCCTGCGCCAACTATATAGAAGTCCGCCATAATTTGATCACTTCAGTCTGAACATGTATTGGACACAAGGACTGCGTCAGAGTTCCCTGTGAACTCAGTTTGGGACGAAAACGAGTGCTGCGTCAGCGATCGGAGAGTGATCGGATCCATTTACACGCCTCGTGCCCAATAGATGGATGGATGGATGGTTACGGCTGTACCCTTTATAACGCGCGGGAGCTTGCGCCACCTAGTCTTGAAATGAAGAACCAACAGTATGATTTCTTTCCTTCGTCCATTTGCTTACCCTCTGCAATTTGGTAAGGAAGAATGGCTGCATATGATTCTTGTTGAGATTTTGAAGATAGTCTATTCTGAAACTAGGGCAACTCAACTAGAGATCACATTCCGCGAGTCGTGCCAAGTAAGAGTTTCTGTCAGCTTGAACTCTTCTCAGGAACAGTCTCTGCCGGAAGAATTGGCCCACGTCCTGCACCGTTTCTTTTCTTCCTTGGATGTTGAGCTTCCTTTGCGTCATCTGGATCCCGTTGAAAGGATGTGAAAAAAAAAAATTGAAAGACGCTTACAACACCCTGTAGTGCCGAATTAGAGCGCAGCTCTTGAGGAAGAGAAGGGGAGGGTACGGAGAGGAGGGTATGCCCCTTTTCCTCCTCCCCTCCTTCTCCTATCCTCCCCCTCCCCTCTTCCTTCCTCCTCCTCTACTCCTCCTCCTCCACCCTCTCCTCCCCTCTCTCCCCCTCCTGTGACGTCATTATGGGGAACGTCCCATGATGCTGCGCGCAGGTCACGAGTGACGTCATTGGTAACCTTCGTGACGTCACTTGGGACCCTCGTGACGTCACACGTGACGTCCCTCGTGACTCGCGCGTTGCATTATGGGACGTTTCCCATAATGACATCACTCGTGGCCGTCGCGACGTCACTTGTGACTCTCGTGACACTCGTGACGTCACACGTGACGTCACGTGTGGCGTCATTATGCAAAAACGTCCCATAATGCTACGCGCGGGTCACGTGAGACCCGCGCGTTGCATTATGGGACGTTTCCCATAATGCAACGCGCGGTTACGCTGACGCCGACGGCGACGGTGATGCCGCTCAAGCCGTAAACAAGAGCCTAAGAACTGCGCTTAAAAAAAAAAAAAAATCAAGGAATTAAGTTACTCATTGCGTACACGTACACGTAATGGCAAAGTTTTATGTTTTCACTCGTGGCAGGACTAGCTCTATAAGAAGCGTGCGACAAGACAGTGGCGCCGCGGTGCGGCTCCCAGCAGAGTCGTTTGGCGGGAACATCAGTTGAATCGGCACGCCCCCTTTAGGTGTCGCACGCTCCCTATAGTCATGTCTCTATACTTTCAGTTCCTTCTTTCGTCCTCAGTTACACTCTTAACTTCAGTAAGGGGAAGCCATGCGGACTTTCTGCTTTGCAGGAGAGAGTTCGTTTGTTGCCACTGGAGCAGTGTACGGTTGCGATGTGGATAGCTAAGATTGCGACCATGGTCAGGCTAGTTATGTCTATGCGGTAAGCAAGTCGTCTGCTTATTGCGCAGGCGTTGCAATGACGTTAGAATGACGCCGAGTTCTGACGCCGAGTTCTGATTGTGTTTGATTGAAAAGATAATGGACCTCAATGCTAGATGCCTTCAGGTCTACCCACTATTTCTTTCTCAATCAGCCAATAAGAGCTCGGCGTTCTGACATCATCACAGCCCTTGTGCAAGAAGCAGACGAACTTGAGCTCCGGATTGCTATGGGTATGGCTCTGCTCTAGCTTACCACGGTTGACTTCCAACCGAGTTGATAGTAGAGCGTGGCTTTGAAGTAATCCCAAAACGACATGTCCGGCAGCATCTTTGGCTCGAAGTGAAGGTTGGCGAAGCTGCCTTGCCACAGCAGGTAATCGCTGAGTCTAGTCTCGCCCGACGTTCGCACCAGCATGCCAATCTCCGGTGCGTCTTCTATGCCCACGTACTCGTCGATGAGCTGTGCCGTGATGTCTCTGCGATGCGGGGTACACACGGCATCTGCTCTTTATTGCGTTTCAACTAACGTGTGCGTTCCGGAACTTACGTTGACTGGAGGGTGTTCTCTTTGACCGCTTTGGCGAGTTTCAAGGCCATTCTCGCCATTTGATGCCGCGAAGAGTAGGCAATGCACACGGTCATCGTCTTCCTGAGGCAGACCGGAGACTAATTTTAGTGTATTTACCAGTATCGTAAAGTCGCATTCCCGCTGCATACATCATTAAAAAAACTCTGTGTTCGCTGCAGACATTATGACAAAACTGTCTGCGGACACGGCTGAAGCATCTTTGGCGCATGTTTGCTTCGTACTTATATGTATACTTCTGACGTCCCTGCAGACAGTGTTTGTATGAACAATGTGAACGTCATACAAGGAACAAACACGCCCAAGACAGTGTCTGCAGTCTGTCTTTTTGTGTGATATGTGTTAGCAGTGGAACAATACCAAAAACAAGCTGCGTAAAAAAGAAAAAGAAAAAAAAAAAGAAAAAACTAGCGTGAGGTAAGCGTTTTCTCACCCCCCGTGGTTCCCGGATGTGACGATGTCTACTTTTGCCAGAAGTCGCTGCATGGTTCGCGGCAACATTTCCAGGTCACCGACACATCGGACCCGACACCCTAGGTTCCTGTAATGCGAACTTGAAGAACCGGGAAAAGCGTATTGGTAATTTCATCGAAGTATTATACGACCTACTCTCATAGTTTCGTGTTTTGATAGGCGGGGATCGTGACGGTTTTCTAAAGGAACACTCATTAGAGAGTTCTTTATGGAATTCTCTTTGCCCATCCCATACGATACGATGGGTTCTCCGGTACGCACTGCGCGTGCGCTACCGCAAAAGGGTCTCACCCGCGCAGTTCGTACCGGACAGCCTGTCGTACCGTATCGGGTGTGCAGAAACGGTTCACTAAAATTCCCTATTAATGGTGGTGCCTACGGTATTCATTTATAACAGCTTCGTGATTTATCACGTAGTATTCTCATAGCCTGCTTATTAAAGCGCAGTGAAGGATTGCTCTTATGAGGTGCGTAAACATATCCCAAACGTTCTGCTTCGGTGATATTTGCACCTGTGCAACTGGAAAGAAATTATTTCTTTTAGGGAGTATGTAAAAATTCAAGGATTTCATCTTTTCGTCGGAGCGTCGTGTTTGTACTTGTCGGGGATTCTATTTTCTTCAAAAATTACGACTTATGGCTTTTTTTTCGCCTCTAGTCAAATGACTCTCACAACATTTCACGGAACGGATACACCTGTTTATTTCTGTTAGGAGCAAAAATTACATATCATCTATCGGGTAAATAATAGAGCTATGAAAGTTCATGAAATTAAACGAAGTTTTGTTGCTGTCTCTAATTCTTTGTTTTATCATCTAAGCGGAAGGGCCGAGGACAATGATGCAGCTGTTTTAATCGTGTGTCATCAATTCACTACGTGACTAAATTCCCTCTACCCTCATTATTAGCACAGAGAAAAGAGATGATAATTATGCCTCTGCAACGCCGACAAACCGGATCTTACAAATTGATATTTATGGCGAAAAGAAAAATGTGTTAGATTGTGGACCCAAGGAACGGGATTGCTAGAAACAGCTCCTTAGCCAAGACTGTTGGAAAGAAAGCCTATCAAGCCTGGGCGCACGAGCGCTGGAGACTCTGTCTCAGGGTGCTACCACTTCGCTTGTGCGCTAGCTTTGCCGTTCCTTTCTTTCATACAGTCTCAGCTAAGACTATGTTTCTTGTAAGCCTGCCCAGAGCCTTTGGAGAAAACTTACTAGTTCGTGAGGATATTACGACAAAGGCTTGCCATCTCGCCGAAAATCCCATCGATTTCTGACTTGGGCCGGTTAAAATTGTGGGTGCTGAAGACGTAAATAGAGGATTCATAGACTCCCATCTTGTTCGCCCACGTGCCGACCTGAACGTGCAATAAAGAAAGCGTACATTTAGGAGCTTGCTTGGGGTAGCTACATTTGTACATGTGCACTCCAGAACCCCGAAAGGCTACTCCTATATTTTTGTATTCGCGAAAGCAAAATGTTGTAACGCTAGAAGGACTGGTCGCTTTGCTACGAATTTTCTCTCTATAAAATCACCAAACTCACAGATTCTACTATGGGGATGCAAATGCCTCGAGGCAACACGGACGTGGTACCGCGTAAGCCTGGGGACTTTCCAGAAAGAGCGCGTCTTTCCCTAAGCCGTCCAGGCAAGCAAGGCAGAACTGTACGCACGCTTCAGGATTTCACTCACGAAGTTGGCTTAGAAGTCCATATATATAATTCACTCCTCACATACCCCGAGTCACAATAGAAGAAGAGAGATTTTTCTGAACGGCGCCGCCACGCCACGGAGCAAGTGCGTCGAAGTTTCACTCCCATTTCTGAAAAAGGCCGTGAGATGGCGCAGCATGACAGGAGCTCGAGGAACCGTCCTTATTCACCCACACGTTTCCAAGGCCGCGAGACGCGCGCGACTGCGCCTGCACGCCGAGCCCCAACTGGACAGTGCCCCGATGGGAGATGCGCGGAGTCCGAGTGAAATTTGCACCCTCTTTCTGGCCTTGTTCCGACACCACCCTTCTTTAACCGTGCCGCGAGTCCAGGCCTCGACGTCACCGACTCATTCCCCTCCCTCTTCCCCCTTAACGCACGCAGTATGACTGAATGATTTTTTTACTATTACTTCTAAGCAGATTTAATGAACACTATGTGAGTGCTCCAACGAGCTAAAGTGTAACATACCATCAACCAGGAATGTGCCGGATTACGCACAGTCAATGCGCAAGATGGCGGTGAATTAACTGCGCGTGATTTGATTGGTCGGCCACAGGAAACGCACAAAGGCGATGAGCACCATAACAATGTACTTTTGTCCCTGCTGATTGGTTTTATTGGTTCGAATTGTCGGTTGCGGTAGAACTTCAATCGAAACAGAGTATAAACAGCTTGGGAGTGTGGATGCCAGCACATGTATGAGTTTCTCACCGATCCGAGCTTGTCTGATCCCGCTCGGTGTCCCTGGTCCACGCTGAGACCAGACTTTCTGGCGAATCTTCTGTTTCCATCGGGAATGACGCCAATGTGGCTTGGCACGGGACCGAGGCTGAGTAGCCAGATGAGCAACCGCTCGTACCAGGACAGTGGTACTTCGTGTAAAGGTCCCCGACGCAACAATGGCTCGGTCTTCTCAGTTGATAACATTGTATTTCCCTCCGTGACCCTGGAGATGAAACGGAAACGCCTTGGTTATGACTGGCTTGTGCACTGAAGTACGGCTGTCCACATCTTCTACAGAATGCAAGAAAGCACGTGCCAAAAGCTGATGAAAACGCAGACTCCAGCGGGGGACCGCCGGCCGAGTGTATTAGTGCACCGCTGCTCCGGGCACGGGGAGCGAATGCTCTCTCGAACTGCAGAACCCAGGGGTCCTAGGTTCAATCCTCATCCCTGCCTGTTTCGATCCAGATGAACATTGTACCGGCGTGCTGTCGTGAACCTCTATTGCGTGGTGCACGCTAAAGACCCCGGGCTATTGGTTGTACAGCACTGGCTAAATGTATCATCTAGAGCTGAGACACCAAGCACCCATTGGGGCTCATTAACTTCTGACTGCCTAAACAGGCAAGCGACTCAATTATTAAATTGGAGCTGTCCACCCCTCTATACTGCGCAAGGAGGCATCTGTCAGAAGCCGATGACAACGTAAACTAAAGCCACAAATGGCATTAGTAAAAAAAAAAGTCGTTTGGGAGGTAATGAGGTTAGTTAAATATATGTTTGACTGGACATCTGAGTCGGTCGTCAAGATCAATTTCTAGATCAAAGATGTCGGACCTTGCTGAGTGCTATGGCTACAAAGACAATTCAGCCCCAGAATGAGTTCAATCTGGCCTATTTTCAACTAGATGCAGCTGTACAAATTTAGGGTACACCCAAATAAACATTAACTATACCGACGGCCATGCGAGAGACGACACAAGCCTCAGGTCTTGTCCACGGTGCCCTTGGATACAAACTGGTCATGTGCTCTCTTAACGTCATGGAACAAACCGAATCTCTGGTGTTCAGTTGGCCTACAGAAAACGCTGTCTCGGTGGTAAACTCGTGGATAACTTTCTGTGGCTATGCAATCAAAGGTACGGAAACCTGTGCTTGAACACCGATTAAACCCGTGCGCGAGCAGTCCTCCTCTAGTCGATAAACTCACAGAAAGCCTTGCACGGATAGAAAAAAAGCATAACAAAAATACTCGTGAAGAAATGTAGTAGAATACTGAATCGGTAAAAATGGGACTTAGTTTTTGGATGTCATATCACTTTAAGCGACGTGTTCGCTTATAAATATATATATATATTTATATATCAGTGTGTCGAACCGAAAAAAAGACGGGTTCGGTTACGGTTCAGCTTCAGGTAAATTTATTTTGTTCCGGTTCAGTTCCGGTTCGATTGATTCGATCCGCGAACCGGTTCGCGAACCGGTTCGGGGCGCTGAACCGGTTCGCGAACCGGTTCGGAAATTATAAATGACAAATTGCAACACCAAAATAAATTACAAATAAAACATCTGAAATCAGCACATACGAAACGGGATACATCGTAGTGTAAGGCTCAGGGATTTCTACCAGGAATGGTTTCTTTATGTGCACTCAAAGGTTACCTCACCGACGTTTACGCATTCGGACTTCATCTAATTGGGTCCAACGCTGTAGCTGTAAAATCCGCGACCTCCTTACAAACCCACTTACAAGTAGAACTCGCTAACTATCCCGCCATCTCGGCGTGTAAGCAATTGAAGGAACAGTGGGGAGAAAATACAGCTAATTCTTTATTTGAACTAGCCTTCGGTAACTCAAATTAGACCCTTAAAGAAGTTTTCATTAAACAAGATACGGAATATGAAAAACACTTCACCGAACGCAACGCCAGAAGGACGTAATAGGATAAATATTAAAATAGAAGAGTTCGCTGTCTCACAAATATGTTAGCTTCTAAGTGGCTATACAAAACCGGATGCATTATTATCAAACTCCACAGCCTTTTCTTTTCTCATTCCGATGGAAGCAAGCTTCAAGAACTCGCGCGTTCTAAAACCTGTTATGAAATGAGCACACAGCAGCATTTAGGATTTACGAGATTGTAGAAAAATGAAATCCCGTGTCGCAATTTTTTTTTTTTTTTGCACAGCCTTCCAATTCTTTTTCTTCCGTGCAAGCCGCGACCAGCGCAATACTGGTTCCTATGTCAAGATTCATGGATGCAGCGTTTGTCAAGATTCATGGATTCAGCGTTTATATTCCTAAGACTGAGTGGAGAAGAAAAATATGTAAGCGAGGTGTGTGTCAGTTGTCGGCACTTAAAAAACAAATGGCATTGATAGCACATGCATTGTCAACAGCGCGTGGCCGAACCGTTTTGACATGAGCCGGTAACCGTTATTTTTTTTCCGGTTCAGTTCCGGTTCGGGTTCATCGAGATAAGAATATAACGGTTCGGGTTCGGGTTCAGTTCCGGAAAAAATACCGGTTCGGTTCCGGTTTTCGGTTCGGTTCCGGTTCGACACCCTGATATATATATTTATATATATTTTTATGCTTTTATATATATCAAGAATGGAACGAATACGCCTTTTCGATTATGTGAGGCGTATTAAAGCGTGGTTTCCGTTAGTAACAATTGCTGATGGTGCTAACGGTTTCGAGTTTTGTACCGATGCAGAGACTGCCCCTTTTTTTAGACGTAGTAAGTGTCCGCATACGTGTCTCCAATCTAAACTCCATAGCCGAAAAATATTACCAAAAAAGGAAGTGTTTAAAATGAAGTTGACTTTAATAAGATAAACGTTATTCAGCAAATAAATATAATTGGTAGTACTCACATTTCTTGCGGAGAATAGATTTGACAGTTGTTCACAGAAACCTCTTCATGCGTGCATCAGCTAGGCCACTTGACGCTAAGAGCACGGCAAACCTTTTATATGGTCCTAAAACACAAGACATGTCACCCCAGACATTTTACGGTTAAATCGAAACGCGGAACTTCCTGCTCCCTGTTGACGTTTGTAAACGCTCTGTGTAAATTTCTGCCGACCGAGATTGTTTGGACGCGACGTGCCACTTTTCCGCCTCCAGCAAGACAGTCGTACCGAATACCTTGTCGTGCTTTCGTCCGGGTCTATGGTCTATCCTGCAAAACACATCCTACCTTGAGGTCCCTCCAAGACCGGAGCTTAGTGCTAAATGGCACCTACGAAACGCTCAAATTGTCTGGATTTCGGCTACCCTGGTGAAACTTTTACGGCAGCTGGTGGAAGAAGCTTGAAGTTATTATGACTTCATGCTTCCTCCACCGGCTGCCACAATATTTATGGTAGCAGCAGCTATAGGCGGGGTAACACAGCGGATATCTCGTGTTTTAGTGTATGTACGTCGTTGCCCACTCAATTTAGCTGAAGCTTTTTGCGTTAAATTTAGCGGCGAATCAACCACTGTTGTGATATTGCGACGTCATGAATTCACGCTTTTCTCGTTATTTTAAGCGGGACACGTCACAGTGTCATATGAAGCACGTCACAGTGCCATATGAAGACCACACAACAAATTTAGCGGCAGGTGTGTCCACTAGCTTTGAACACGGAAGTGTAACTCTGCGAGCAATATGGCAGCGCATCGGTTGTGTACGCAGTTCATTCGAGAGACACAAAAAAAGGGGGTAATTATTTTAATTGTGCAGCGCGAATGAACGAATCTGATATTGGTTAGGAGCCATGGTGATACGACTCATTCCATTTCAAAATGATATTTTGAAATTGTCGTCTTGAGTTGAAAGATATAAGTCCTCGTTTGTGCTTGGTGTTTCCTTATGTTAATTTATTCCTGCTTAAATTCAAACGGACCGCCTTAGTATCGCATCATCGTGCGTATAAAGTAAGGGTTAGCAGCACGCAATGACCACATAACGAATTTATGCGTGATGATGTGCTACCGTCTACTCGTCGTCGCAAGCGTTGTGAGCAGGAAACGTACACGTCTGGGGCACAAACACAACATCTGCAACCATTACAGTAAATTTAGTGCTGGTGATAATCAAAAAGGGTTCGATGGCTAAGATCGTCTCGATTTTGGGGCGACCAATGTACGTGACGCGCTCATCTAATAATTTATAATTATTTTTACAAAACACGCTCGTTACTAGTATACGGTATTTAGAGTTCATATATAACAACCCTATAGAGAAAAAAGGTACACCACTTTCTCATGCATTTCGGTTGCTTCAGAACAGCGGGGCATGGAAGCGGAAATTAGTGGTACCAGATGGGTCGATACTGCTGTAAAAGTAATTGTATTGTGTGTATGTTTAGACATTGGGAATTTAGTCAGCCTCAAGGGGGCGTCTGGTGCCTCCAATGTCGATGATAAGTTTAACCAGAATAAGGAGTATTCACCGGACGCCATATTTGTGGGTGCTGTTTAGAGCGCATGCTCAGAACGAACTCACATAAAAAGGTTGCTAGACCGGCAATCTTGATGGTGTGGAATGCACGTTGCAAAAGAACTGTGGAAGCTCGCCATCAGCACGCGCTCAGCAGTCGTTCCCACAGCTATGGCCGCCAGTGAATATTCCCTATAGTACTGTATACTCTATTTCACCTTATGATGTACCGCAGGAACCGCTCATTCACACTGGAAGCGGATCCGCGTTCGCAAAGCGGTTGCGAACGCGGTTGTATAAAGATTCAGTACAATTGCACGCGCACTTGATGTCATCGAGCGCGCGTGCAATTGTACTGGATCTTTATAGACGCTTTGCAGCAGCTGTGCATGGACGCCGCCATAACTGACCTTCAGTTTTTGTTTCCTCTTATTCCGTTTATTTCACTTCATGATTACCATAGCAGGCCAGGTAATTGCCATTTTAAGTGTTACTGTGTCCTTTTCTAAGGAATCGGCCTTTGTAGAGGATCGTCAACTACCGTTTCTGTTGCTCGGCATCTCTGTAAGACAAGAGAAGGTCAGCAATGGCGGCTGTAATTTGGCGCGTGTGTAAAGCGTCTATACAACCGCGTTCGCAACCGCTTTGCGAACGCGGATCCGCTTCCAGTGTGAATGAGTGGGAAAGGCTATAAGCGCGAGCTCCTGGCTCTAGGCCACACCTCGGGGAACAAGCTCTCGTGCATTAAGGGTAGCGGCCAATGCTAAGAGCTCGCGCTTCAAGCCTTCGCAGAGGTACAACATAAGGTGACACGGAGGCTGGGAGATCAGTGGCCAAGTGTGTTAGCGCACAGCAGCTCGGAGACCGTGGAGCGAAAAGCTCGCTTTGCAGAACTCGGGCATCCTCGGTTCAATCCCCACCCCTGCCCGTTTTCGATCTGGATACATCGTACCGGCGTGCAGTCGAGTATCACTACTGCGTGATGCAAGTTAAAGACCCCAGGCTGGGCAGTGGAATAATGCACTAGCTAACATTTTTATATTCAGCGTAAACTTGCAGTTCCAGCGTTTCTCAAAGGCAGACCGACCTACACGTTGTTTTAATACGAACGTCAATTATATTTCTTCTTGCTACAGTGCTCATTAGGAAGTTTTAGAATAGGGGGCTCCAATGTTAGCGGGCCCCTCGGAAAGAGGGGCTCACCACTGCGCATATGTCGAACCCAAACTGCGTTTTGTGTTAGCGCTCGTTTCTATTCAAAAAATAGCGTCGGTTAACATGGCGGCCCCATTCCCAGGCAGCGCAGCTCGCTTGAGAAGGTATACACGAGGACTGCTGCATTATTAGGAACGTTCACCCGCAGTGAATGGAGCAACCGGCTTTCGGTTTCTATTGCTTCGCTTAAATCACAAAGTATATGCTATGTTGTTGTCCCCTTCCTAAACTTGAACGGAGGCGGTAATCGTTGGCACAGGAACGTTTTACGATTCCATGTGGATTATGGATTCTCTTGGTTTGATCGGCCGGGCGATATCGGCACACAAACTAAACCACACACCTATTTCCACTAAAGTCGAAGGACGCAATTTTCGTAATGCAAACGAGGTATTATACCAAGCATTTACATATTAGCCGTTCCATGATGCCCGCCTTCATTGCTCAAGTCTTCCCCGTCGTTTGGAGCACTAACTTCATTCTTTTATAATAAACTAGGAAGGAAACTTGTGCAACTCTTGTTTTTACTTAAAAAAGAAACTATGAGCGAGCCGCGCTGCGTTGTGAAAATGGCCCCACGTAGGCTCCCCTAGTTTTTAGGGGCCTCTTAAAGGCCGACGACCAGACTCGAGGTTCTGCAAGGCAGAAGATCCTCCTCACCATGGGGGGAAGGGGAAACAAGGAACGGTGGACAGGGTAGAAGGGGGGAGAGGAGGAAGCGGGGGAAAAGTGGAAAGCGCGAACTGGTCGTCGGTCTTTAACGTACGAGCCCCCTTTTCTAAGCCGCCCTGTTTAAACTGAAAGCGGCAGGGGAACTAGGTTCTGTAGCACGAACTGTCTTGTACACGTTAGTCGAAGAAGTTAATCGATTACAATTACGACTTCTCTTGGTTTAAAGCTATTCAATTAGTTCACTAGATTACTTGAAAAGAAAAGTAATTGACAGTTACTTGATAAAACTCAATTTTACTTTTTACGATTAGTTCTTACTTTCAAAAGGGCAGATTTTTCTGCCTGTTTGAGAACGGGTCGAACGTACTATCAGTTATTATATTAAATTAGAAACTACCTATCTTCTTAACCTGCAAAGTTTAATAGACCATCTTCCTGTCGGAGTCTTGGTTCAAGGATTGCTTGGTAGGAAACTTCTGGAAACAAAGTGCACCATTAGAAAGGAGAGAAACAAATATCATCGGGAACAGGCAATTTAGGTACTTCGAAAAGTAATAAACTCACACTCGTGGTTACTTCCTAATAAATATTATCAAAGGATTACAAAATTATCCTTAAAATTAATCGATTACAAATAATGTGATTACGTGAAATGTCAGAGCACGAGCCTTCGGTCCTGGATCTGAGAAAGTAATGACCTGTTTTCAGATCAAAGAAGACGATAAAGCGGAGTCAGCAGCTGCTGAGCGCGTTTGTTCTCAGACACATCGCACATTATTTTGTTAGTAACTCGCGTGTAATGAACCTCGCCAGTACGGAGAACCGACTCGCCATGTCGGAGGCCACATCGTTGCCTCACGAGATGGCAAGCCTCACGTCTTCGCCTAGGACCAGCGCAGCCTCTTTGCCCGAAGGCCGGGCGCAGACGTTCAACCTTCGGGCGGACAGCAGCTGCCAGTCACTCGAATACGACTATTCCCAGACCTTCAAGAAGACCACGACCAACAGAAACGGCGAAAGGTGCGACTTGATCCACGCCGAGCTCAATTATAGCGGAGTGCGCGACAAAAGCGTCGCTGTGGTCAACCTTCCACGATTTGCCAGACGCTCGCTCCCACTTCTTTAGTGTTATGAATTTAAATGGTTATTAACGGAAATAATAGGAAAGTCGATCATCTAGACCAGGGGTGGCCAAACTGTGTCTCGCGTGCCGCGTGCGGCTCTTCACGAGTCCAAGTGCTGCTAGTAGCTTCCCGGTAAAAGTAACACCCCCCCCCCCCCCCCCCCCCGACCCCGACCCCCTTCATGCCCCCACTTTCTGCAAAATAAGAAGGAAAAAATATATAAAATGAAGACAGGTTGCGTTTTGCCAGTCTTGTTCCACCATATGTACATCCGACCAATTGGATAAACAGGGTGAGTGTGTTAATAGAGAACTTTACTATAGGGGGTCCCACGCTCGGGGGCCCCTAAGAAATAGGGGCTCACCACAAAGTATGCGCGAACCCTAACAGCTTTTTTGGGTTAGCGCCGCCCCTAAGACCCCTACTGTGCTATACTCCGACCTTGAGCGCAGCGAACGGAACGTAGCGCAGAACGCGCGCCTTTGATTGGGCGGCGATCGAGAGCTCGATATCTGCGACCAAACGGCGGCGCCCTGCTTCGCTCGCTTCAGAAGAAATTCGTCGTGGTCGCCGCACTAAGAGGCATATTCATCGGAAATAGCAAATAGGTATTTTCTAAGTCTGATCAGCTCAAACCCAAATGCAAAAGCTGGTCGCGTAGGACGCTGGAGCGGCTTCGCCTTAGCTTAGGCATAGTTGAGCGAAAGCAGGGGAAGTCGTACGAGGAGCGAGCTACAAAAGAAAGGAAGAAAAGGCTTTCGTGAAAAGGAAAAATGACGAAATCGTATTAATTTGGTCTTCACTTCAGACATTTAATGACTGTTCGAAAGCGGGTAGATTTGGTGTTATCCATAGAGTTATTACAATGTACGCTAGACGTTCAACTGGCGCCAGCGTCTATGCGACTTCGGGGATGCAAATTGAAGCAGGCAGCAACCCGTCTATTTTTGCGGTGTTCCTTTGCATTCCTATGGGAAGACGCGAGTGCATTTTGTCGTTTTGCCGAAAAATACCTTGGATCACTTTTGTTATTTCGGTCGTACCGAATAGTGTGTACTTTCATTATAATTGTAAAAGTGTAATTGTTTTAGTTAGTATTTTTCTTTAACAGTAAACAATGTTAAACTTCGCTCATGCCTAAACCTCTGTTCCATAGCTGATGTGTAAAAAGAAGCGACGATTTTAGGCACAATAATTATAGCAAGGAATGTAGAGTGTGTTCAAGGTTCGCCAGCGTCCCGGTGACGCTTATAAATTGCTAATATCCCAATCCTGTCCCTATATGAAAATGTCTCTGTGGTGGATCTTTACGAGTGGTTAAAAACATTCGAAACGCAAAAAAAAGAGAAAAAAAACGTACCATGAAAGGTGGTTCTTTTTATTATTTTCTATGCCAAGCAGCTTTTATCAGGCCCTCGTTCTCTGGCGTCTCAAAGATATCGAGCGTGCGGGTGATTTTTTGAACGCCGAACAAGCATGTTCGCACATAATCAGAGTATAAAAAATAAAGCAAAGCTTATTTATTTCAAATTAGACTGTATTACGTGGCCTTCAGTTAATTCTGACCTTCTATATGTACAGGGAGTTACTGATCTAGTGTTACTCCGTAGTTTTTGCCGTCTCTTTTGGTTTTCCAGATGTCCTTCGTTCGTTTGGCACGTATATCCTTGCTGAAAAGCGCCGACGCCGTGTTCGCGCTGACATCGCCTGACAGTGCAGATAAATACACGTATAAAGCTGTTTTAGCACTGTGTTTAATGCCATGAATTATGAAGACGAACGCCGTAACTAACCAATTAGTTGGTACCTTAACTACTCGGCACGACGAAAAAGTTTCTTCTTCCTGTCGTCGAAACTAAAAAGCTGGAGACGGCAGGGCACGATTGTACCTTTGTCCCACGAAGCCTCAACGTGCGACAATGGTAAGATGAGGCAATCATATTGCGTACCTACTATACCACGTGAATGATTGCAGACTACGGCACTCGACATGAACACCGCATTTTACGGACGAATATATACTTAACTGAAGGCGACTTTTCAGTAGGCATCTTTTGTTTAATAACTCTAGCAGAGTAGACGGACTCCGGCGAGGCAGCACGGTGGTGGCGTCACTTGAGCACGTGGCCAGCACAGCATGTTCACGCCGCCCACAGAAACCACCGGGAGGGAAGCTCACACCAACACGAGTTTGCGACGGAACTTGACGAACAGGGAAGCTGCGCCGACGGCCCTCCGGTATCGACGGGCACCTCGTCACCAGGCTCGGCTCGACCAAGCGCGGGGATGTTGAGCAGTCATAGGCAGAGCAGGCGAATTTTTACGTCATCACGCCTAAACTACCGTGGACAAAAGCGAATACCGACATACATTTGTGACGGGAGAGACGTGACCCGGCGCAGAAAAATCCCTGCGAGAAGCCCGTACCCGGCCGAACCCGCGCCCCGCGCTCGGCGGCTCGGCGACTCGGCCGGGCCGGGCTCGGCGTTGGCGGCATCAGAGACGATCAGCGGCGGGATGGAAGCGCGCTCGCTGATTGGCCACCCCCTCTATGCAGATCCCCTACGTCACAGCACGGGAGACGTAATTTGAGATATTTGAACTCGAAATACTGGTGCCGGAACCCCTAAAAACGGAGCGGTGACGTCAAAACCGCAGCGGGCTTTCATACGGGTTCCGGCATACGAATCCGGAGTATGTGTCGGTGGACAAGAAGGACAAAGCGGTCCCTGTAGTTCGATCTCCTCACCAAAAGGTAGCATGGACTTCTCCCAAACCGACGCGCCCCATCGCGGCGAAATACCACGCAGTGCACACTGGAAACTAGTTGGCCACTCAGTTTCGGTTTCGACTGAGCAGCTTCATCTCATGCTATCACGCCGCGACCGAACGCGCTGCTTGCGTTCTCGATTATCTAACTTTTCACGAACGTATAATACACTCATTCTCGAGCGATACAAAACGAAGACCGGGGCACTTTCCTTGGTTCCCGAAACACCGGATATTATGAGTGCGTATGCAAACGTAGTAACACGTGGCTTAATCACCTCACCCCACGAGTGCATGTTTGAGGTCAATTTCAGTAATCCCGTCTAGTACTAGTGAACTAAAACTGAAATTTGGTCATCTGGAGCCTTACACGTATTTTGTTGGCCAAACGTCCGCTTCTTGTTACTTCATTGGGCGAAAAGCAAGCCGCATCCTCACAGGAGTATCATAGTTTAGCCCAGCGTTGACGCATGAACTTTTAAGGAAACGCAATAAATTCTACCTCAATACTGCACAAAAGTTACTATGATGTCTTCCTCGTGTCATCATATATCTCCCACTCAAATTTTATGCGGATAGAAGATTACGCTTTCGCAAATGCTGAGATCGGCTAGCGACGGAGGCCCTAAAGAGCGTCCCCTACTCCTCGCTAAGCCTTTTTGGACGAGCTTTTACTGACGCCCAAGATGTGTGCCTGAATGGTGCGTCTGAAATTATCTCGGCATACCCAGGCAGGAAGAAAGCCAACACATAGCAAATAGTATGGCCATTAGCAACCCATCAAACGCCCTTTGAATAATTTCGTTCGTTTGGCGCACCGTATAGGGGTTCATGCCCGTCCGGCGCACTTCCGGCGAATGGTGTGACATTCTTCACACAAGTGCTCGAATTTCGCTTTATTGAAACGGTCTGTATGTGTGAATGTGCCTATATGATTGCAGGGTAACTTTATGCGCATACACGATGTTGAATATAAGTGGAATGCAATCGGGTGGGGACTTCACTTCGTGCGGTGGTGCGGGTCAGTACAGATAAGAGATAAGAATTAAGTGTGTTCAAACTGAGCTTTTCAATGGCGCCTCCGAGTTTTACCTCGCGTACTCAGGCGTATTAAGAAAAACAGTAATTGCAAAAAGTAATATTTTGTCTATCGCACGAAACAAACAAACTTCCTAATCAACAACACTAATGTAAAGGCGCGAGCTCGATGTATGCATACTTATTGGTTGCCACAGCTTGTTGATTCGTACACAAGCAAGATCCCCGAGCTTCGCAGCGTCTAGATTCCCAGGACTGGCAGGTCCACATACCTCGATTGGAGCGCTAACAGAAAGGCTCAAGCACAAAAATACAACAAGCATGTGTTAAGACAAGCTATACGTCTCGGGCTTGTGCTAAAGCTTCGAGGCCTGGCCTTTGGGTCAGTTTGGAGACCACAAATGACGTTTTCGGGACCAGAAAACATGAGATAACGGCCGTCAATAGTCCACGCTCTGTGTATAATCTCTTGTCGACGTGTCGATCAAAACCGAAACCATGCCACCCTCGTCCCTGGCCAACTAGTTCCCAGAGTGCAACGCGCGCCGTGTTGCATGCAGGGTTTTATGGAAGTAGTCTATTGCCTTCAGCAACGTTCCAAATTCTCGCAGAAACAATGGGACCCTGCGCCTGGTCATCGTGGTTGTGTCCATGATGCTGGTGTCTCTGCTGCTGGCGTTGCTATTGAGGCATCCACCTCGCAAGCGGTCTGTGGTTGTGGCGACTAAATTCGGCCTGGTTCGGGCCTTCCAAGTACCCGTGGAGGGCAGTCGACGAGTGATGCAGTACATGGGCATCCCGTACGCCCAGTCGACGGCCCACGAGAACCGGTTTGCAATGCCCAAAGATGTCCCACCACTCACAGGTGGGACAGAGTGACTAAATGGCGGAGAGAGAGTATTGCCTTCCTTCCCCTTTCTCCACCAACTCCTGATTGGCGGGGAAAGGGTCACTTTGCGCCCAACGAGGTAGAGGGGCTTTGAGTGATAAACTGGTTCACCAGGCAAAAGTGACCTTCCTCCCACCCCCTGGCTGCCGCCACGTTGTACAGTTTTGAGCACGAGACAGGTGACCGTACCAAATCCGGAGGCTTTTACGTAAAAACTGAGCCGAAATTTGTATTGCGATCACTCTAAAAAAACATGATGAACTGTTTTTCAATGCTGTTCGCCCTAGAGATCAGTGTCTAAAAACCCAAAATACAGCACTGCGGCTGACGACATCTAGAGAAGCTGCCCGAGTTTTTGTCGTAAAAGTACATTTCGGACTTAACTCATCTGTACTGTTATTAAAACTCAAGCAATTACCTGGTGCACGGTACTTTCTTAAAATATAGACGTAAAACTAAGGTAGCATTTCATGTTAAGTGGTCAAAAATGTGCAACATGGCGGCGGCCCAGTGGGAGTCATTTTAAGCTGCCAGTTTATCGCTCTAAGTCCGTCTACCTCGTTGCTTGCACCAAATTTGACTTTGGCGCTTGCGGAAAAATTGCCTTAAGGAGCATCGGGTCTTGGGTGGGACACATTTTTTTGCTCCGTTACACTAAAGTCTAATGAGCAAAAAGAATTTTGAACCCTTGGACATTGTGTGTCACTTAGACATGTGCAATTGCGTTCTTTTTATAACGCAAGCGCTGTTTTAAAGCGGCCGACCTCAAGCAGACGACACTACAGTCGACATCGTATGATGTCGGCCGTCGCATTGTCTGTTTGATAGCACGCTCTGCAACACGGTTGACTAGATAAAACGTTGCTTGGACTTCGCGCATCTCCTGACAGGAGCACTGTATAGGTGTAGAGTCTTCTTGCTGGCGTAATCGCGCACCGCGCGGCCTTCTAAAGTCGCGCGCCGAATGGCTCCTCCAGTGGTTCTCATCGGCCCCTTACATGCTGCATCGTCTCGCGGCGTTTATCAGAAATACGAGCCAACCGTTGCAACACTAGATCCGTGGCGAAGCGGTGCCGTTCGGACACACGTTTCTTCTTACACTATGCTCTGACTCTAAAAAGATCCATTTCATCTGTCTTTCACACAAAGCTCTTGTGAGAGACAATTGTTCACGAAGGAAGCTCGGCGAATGATGGGCGGAAAATATGCCTAGACCTAAGGAGGCGGTCTTTGATGAAGCATGACGGACGTGCCTTAGAGTCCCAACCTTTCTATAGCCTTGCACACTGCCGAGTTGATACTAGAAAGTGTGCAAATAAAATTATTATTGTTTTTAAGCTATGCTCGGTGTCACAGCGCACACTATTTTTTTTATGTCTAAACTTATTATCAGCATCTGACGCAGTACATCTTTTGGACTTTAGAATGCCGGCGACGGAATCAGCGTCGTGTTATCTTTCCCTTTTGTCTTATACGATGCCATACGCGCAGCGGTTGCGTTTGTCGGCAGATTGACTGAGGACGTGAATTTAAAATGATTCGCATTTCAGGCGAGTTGAACCTAGACTCTGGAAATGAGTTCTCCATAACCTTTCAGGGCAAGTGTAGTTTATAAAGGAGTTCCTGACGGATTATCAGTTAGCGGTTATATGCTATGCCAGCACTACGAGAAACGGAGAAAGGCCAGGAGTCCAGAGCTCGCAGGGACGAAAGAACGCCGAGCTCTCGTTCCAAATTATTAGTGGGAAGACCTAAAGCTAGCTTCCTTCGTCTTAGCTGCACTCGTCGAACGAGTTTGAAAGCGGGAACCAAACGTCGGACGCCGGCGTTTGACGTGTACAGTAGAATCAAAGGATGTCTGTGTCTCCACTGAACTCGTCGAGCGAGTTCGAATGCGAAAGCCAAACTCCTGAACCCTGTCGTTCCGCGTGTTACCGCGTTCAAAGATTACAGTGGAAACAAAGGCAGCTAGATTTAGGCCTATGCTCTATAATCATTAAAACCAGAGGTCAGCGTTCCGACAACCCAGCGCTGTCGTCTCCTCCTTTCTCTCAATATCTCGGCGCATAATATAAGCGAGGTTAGGTGGCGATCAAAATGGACTCGTGTCAGGATTTCATGTCAATTTTAGCAATCCTTTCTAAGACCACCGCGAATCTCCATAGTTCCCAGTGCGGACCAGACCATCAAAGCCGTCGAGGAATGGGACCAGCCGTCGAGGCCTTGCCCTCAGGCTTCGTCACATCTACCCCAATGGCTCCAGGTGGCCACGACGAATGGCTCCGAGGACTGTTTACGACTGAACATCTGGACTCCGGACTCGCAGTGCCTACGTCAAGGACCGTTATGCGGCAATCGAACGGTCGTCGTCTTTATCCACGGCGGTGATTTTCTCTACGGTTCCAACGCGTGAGTAGTTTCTTTCGGTACTCAGAACGAGGAAGCTATCTACGAGACATTCAGAACGAGGTGCCTATGCTCGCTACTTTCGCCTAGTTTGCTCTTTTCAACTAGGGTTGAACGGGTGCTACGATGCTGAGAGTAAAGTCTGGTTCACACATTTTCGTTTGAGTTTCATCGACTGCAACCACTTGTCATGTTGACGATATGGTGATATATCTGGGGATTTTTTTTTAAGGGAGAGGGGGTGGGGGGTTGAAGTGGCTGGAATGTTCATGACTTGGGGTGCGGAGGAGTAGAGGAGGGGTCAGAATATATGTGTCATACATAGGGCCGGCTGAATTGGGGGGGGGGGGGGCTGAAGTCCCAGAAGCCTCCACCTGGGTGGCTATACCACTGCGAAAAGATAAGAGACCAGCCATCGGGTAGCCATGGCACACTTCTCATATCCGTATACTTTACGCATCATTGTTCTAACAAGGATATAACCCAGTGGTTCTCAAATGGGGGCATTCTAGGAATGAAGGCATTCTAGGGATCCGCGATGCCCTGCCTAATCAGTCAAGCCTGGCAAAAACGTTGTCTTTTATTAAGATTAAGAAACGTTCCCATTTTCAGGTTAGTTTTCTCGAGCGTATATCAGAGAGAGAAAACTACTCTACACAAACCTTGGTTACACCCATTTATTAAATCATTATCGTAATTAACCGATACCGTTTCCTTTCCCCACCACGAATGAATTCATCCATCGTTTGCGCCGATTCACAAGGAGTCCGGGAAATATCAAGGGTTGAGAACCACAGGTGTAACCTATAAGTTACCCTTCCTTGTAGGCATAGATTTGATTTCACAGATACTGCAGAATTTTCTGCATAGTTGGATAGATGAATAAGCGCTTCTTGAAACCATATAAGGCGGAAAAACCTGGTAGATGGTGCCAGTGTGTCTTCTCCTCCTAAGCAATTACAAGCGGCTTCCGCGCAGTCATTCATACTCAAACGCAAATGCGAGAACCAGCCTTTAAAGTGACGACACAAGAACGTCTTGTCGCGCGATGCTTTCTTGATCATGTCGATCATCTTTGGGCCACGTGCGAGAGTTTTACCGGCTCTAACTCCTGGCATAGCTTGTTTCTTTACAACTCTTCCAAATCAAACCCTTTTCTTTGCATTGGGTACCAAAGAGACCCCCCCCCCCCCCCCCGCACACACACACCCTAAGAAGAAGAGGTGCACTTAGGACAAACAACTGATTGAATTCTCCAGAGGATACGACGGTACGCTGATGTCATCGAGAGGCGACCTTGTAGTGGCCGTGCCAAACTACCGGCTCGGCATCCTGGGTTTCGTCAACGGACGTTCTCCGGAGAATCCCGGAAACCTGGGCCTGTACGACCAACTCTCGGCTCTGCGGTGGCTTAGGGCCAACGTCGGGTACTTCGGCGGCGACGCCAAGCGGATGGTTCTGGTGGGGCATGACAGCGGAGCCACATCCATCGGATACCTTTTGCTTAGTCGCCGCAAGGAGCTGGTTGACATCAGTCGATTTGTCTTCTTGAGCGGCAATCCCTTCACGAGGCGAGTTGCTCAAGAGCGTTAAGATGCCGCAGTTCTTGTTTCGCGAGTTTGTCATGATAACAGTCTTAAGCGTCTTATTATTGCTACGCAGCCAATGACGACGTCGAGGACAGAATTTCGAACACGAAAGCATGAACACGTTAAAGGGATACTGAACCAAGAAATTTAATGTCCATAAGTGGCGCGTTCTTTCCACGAGCCAGGAGCCGCCGGTGTGCGCGAGCACACGCAACAAAAATGACGTCACAGACCTCCATTCGCGGTTGAGATGACAGTGAAATGTATTGGCTTCGGACCAAAGGAGAATAAAAACAGGTGTTTCATCTACACAGTGGTGCCTGGTGTAAAAGGTAAGCGATGAATTGGTCTAACAAGTACGTAGCTTTCACTTGTAGAGATTAAAAGCCTGTCTTTATTCTCCTTTATTCCGAAGCCCATGCATTTCCTGTCATCTCAACCGCGAATGGAGGTCTGTGACGTCAGTTTTGTTGCGTGTGCTCGCGCATACCGGCGGCTGCTGGCTCGTGGAAGGAACGTGCGCCACTTATTATGGGCACTAAATTCTTTGGTTCAGTATCCCTTTAAGCCTCGCATTGCGTTTTTTTAAGTTTTAAGTGACTTTAGTATAGTTTAACGCAGCCCAGAGGCAGTTCAACCTGGAGGAACTTGAAGAGGATCTTTCAGGGAACCGACAGCGCGGCAGGCGGCGCTTTTTATGTGATGTTCACTTTCTAAGCTTTTTCGCGAAGCGTCGCTACAGTATGAGGTTTCCAGACGCTTCTTGTTTACGCTGTCTTATTGCCAGCCCTCCCCGGAAAACAGCCCACAAACAGGGATTGTAATTTGAAAAACAAAACCAAAGACTTCGGTACGTATTTTGCAGAGTGTGTTTTGGCTCTATAAATGTTGGTAGCAAGATCACTCTCAACAATTTTCTTAAAGCTTTGAGGGTAAAACCACGTGGAAGACTTTTCTTAAAAACACAGACAAGAAAACCTTTCTTTAGAAAACAACAGGAATTAGTTCAACAAGTCAGCTTAGCTTAGAGGTTGAATAAGGAACTTTGCACGTACTAATTTTTTCCAGGTACACCAGATCCTCGGATGACACAAGGACTGTCATACTCAGCGCCGCGAAGCAGTCCCAATGTGCCCCGAAGGACCCCAATTGGCCTAGCCACGGCGACAACGCCAGCGTGGAAGAGCTGCTCTCGTGCCTGAGACACGTGGACTTAAACCAGTTGGAGCCTTGTATCCAGAGCAGCATCGGTTGGGGACCCAACCTGAACGACAAGACCCTGTTTCCCAATTCGCGCTTGGCGTTGCTTGGCAACCAGTCTTCTCTCGCTGGGAAACGTTTCCTGATCGGCACTTACGCGGACGATGCCTATTCGGTCACGAACAATATTACTCAATACGAAACGAAGTCCGTCATCAAAACACAGTCCTCTCGACGCAAAGACGGAACGACCCTCATTCAAGTTGAGAAACGTCTGCAGAATCACACGGTGCGAAAGATTTTTTTTCTTTCTTCCTTGTTTTTATAGTGTTTTCCGGAGGCAAATAATTTTATATTCACCGACACTTTAAGAACAGCAGGGTGTGGTTCATTCATCGCCATCACAACCATCATAATCATCATCATCATCCAGCATGCTCTTGTCGGCTAATGTCGCAATCTGATTGGCTGAGATGCGATAATGAGATGCTCTAGATTTCCCACGCCGAGTCTTTATCTGTTTTTCTTTTAGCTGTCAAGGTGAATGCCATAATCTGATTGGCTGCGATGCGGTAATGAGATGCACGGTTTTCGCCACACCCAGCGTTCTTTTAAGCTGTCAGTGGGTATACACCCAACTCAATTAACTCTTCGACTTCACTCTACTGCGGTGGCACTGCTGTCGGCATTGCGCATGCGCAGATGCGTCATCTCGTGCGAATCAGAGTTTGGGTAATCGCTGACTTATTTGTGAACATTGTGCATAGGAGCAAGCTTAATTTCCCGCTTTCGTATTTGAAAAGCGTATATATAGAATCAGCGTTTAATTGAGCCTTCGCAACTTGACGCCGCAGTCGAAAAACTCAGCGCAGCCGCGCATATGACTGTTGATTTTCGCGGTGAATTGACTTTTTTTTCCGAACGGAAGTTCCCATTTTTGTCACATCAGCGGTTTTTAACTATTAGAAATGGAAATCTGAACCTGACTTATGTGACGACGCTGAAGCAGGAGATGTAGCCTTTGTAAAAATGCAGCTAGAATGTTTCTCTGGAGTGTGCATTTAGGCTGCAGTATGTTGAGGTCCCTATCGATTTTTGAAAGCAGCTTATCGACAAGATATATATATATATATATATATATATATATATATATATATATATATATATATATATATATATATATATATATATATATACACTGTAAACGACTAAATTTTCGCGAATTTCGCGAATCGCCTACAAACGCGAAAAATACGTCCCGCGAACAATTCAGGCAATATGTGAGCACTACGGAAGCTACGCTCGATTCGCGAAAATTTGAGCCCGCGAAAATTAAGTCGTTTACAGTATATATACACCAACTCATGTTTACAAACAAACCGGAGCGCCCCTAGCGGACGCCACCGGCACCGCGCATGCGCGATGGGGTGTGGGTAAGAAGCTGGCCGTCGCCCATAAACAAACCATTGGAACGCGATGTTGTCGGCGTCGCTGTGAGTCCCCCTGCCCTTTTTCGCGTTCGAATTGTTGATTCTACGTCTCCCTGGCGATGTCTGACTACTTGAGCGGCGTCAGCGAAATTACCGAGGCTCGTTACACCGCAAAACTTCGCGTGAATAATGTGACATGTGGCGATTCATTCCGCGCGGACGCCGCAGTCTGCACGCTAAAGCCTGATTCGCATGATGCGATTTCGCTCGCAATTTTCAGTCGCGACGCCGCTCAGGCTGCAAAAGCGTGAACCGTAGCTGAGATAGTCGACGTTGATACTGAAAATCGCAAGCAGAATCGGACCAAGTGAATTAGGCCTAGCAAGTCGGCGATGGTTACTGGTAACAATGATCAACATCTCCTTGAATCTACTGGTTACATCGAGCCTGCTTACCAACCTTCAACTTTAAGTCTTTTGAGGCCTGCACTTACCTCTTATCGCAATCACCGGGCCAACAATTGGTCTACGGGCAGGCGTCGTCTAAGAGAGCAGACGACAAGCAGAAACGTTTGAAACAGCAGACGACAGCTCGAACGATCAGGGGCCGTTTGAACAGGCGCACTAAACGTAGTACGCAGGCGGTCCGCACAACTTGACGGTTTTCTGGCGTTCATGTTGGAACAAAACAAATAAATCTGATGACCTTATCCGTGAATCCAACCCAAAGTGCTTCCCGCCCAAGCAATCGTTGTCCGACGGCGTCTGCTTTCCCCTTTTCACGGCACATATCCAGATTCTCGGACAAACCGAGCACGTGAAAACTGGCCTTCAAACCTTTCTTGACACTTTTGGTACGGCCCCAGTCGCGGCGTTTTGACGACCGACGCGCCACCACCGCGCCGTGACGTAACAGAGATGAGTTCGTGTATATATATATATACAGGGTGTTTTTTTTTATTCTTACACATTTGTTTAAAAAAAATCGATGAAAGCTACGCTAGTGCGGTTTGTGCAGGTGGGTTATACGGCCAGGCGGACACTATGTGGGCGGCTAATCCTTGCAATAAGTCGGTTAATTAATTAAAATTCGTTAATTAACTTTTTAATTACTGAAAATAAACATATGGTTTCAATTAGAAACTTGTAGAGCATCATCGAAAACCCCTAAATCAACTATTTTTAGCAGGATATTACGCCGGGGCAGCATTTTACGGCGTTCTGTAAAGACGTTCTATTTGGACGGATTTCTAGATTTCGGTTTCTTATCGGAGCGCATCTACGCGCCCGCGATCCTGCTCCCCGGCGGTCGCGGCGCGAAGCCACCTCCTCGCCTCCCTCGTAGAATGGAGGGAAGTACGGCGCACGTGTGTAGCGCGTCTCAGCCACTGGGGAGCAGGACCGCAGGCGCGGTGATGCGCTCCGATAAGAAACCGAAATCTAGAAACGCGTCCAAATGGAACGCTTTTATAGAACGCCGGAAAATGCTTCCCTAGCGTTATATCCTTCCAAAAATAGTTGATTTAGTGGTTTTCGATGATGCTCTACAAGTTTCTAATTGAAACCATATGTTTATTTCCACTAATTAAAAAGTCAATGAATTTTAATTAATTAGCCGACTTATCGCAAAGATTAGCCACCCACATAAGGTCCACCTGACCGTATAACCCACCTGCACAAACCGCATTAGAGTAGCTTTCACGGTTTTTTTTAAACAAATGTGTAAGAATAAAAAAAAAAACCCTGTATATATATATGGGTGGTTTCATCTCAAATCGTGCAGGCAAAAAGGGTCGAATTTTTAATTTCGATGAAAAAAATATATGTTATGGCGCCGTGTCTAAAACCGCAGTCGACACAAACCGCAAGTTCGTCGGATTTTTTGTTCTCGACTTATGAATTTTTAAAGAGGCCGCGGCGAAAAGCAGTGTTTTTCACACCCGTCGTGGGTCGGATGTTTCGCTTGATCTCCCGCCATGGATTTTCAGTCCACATTATATTAACTTTTTTCAAGCACTCTGTGGACACATTTAAAAAGCTACAACACCATGAAATAATTTTAGGCCTTTTGCTTTTTTTCTGTAAAAATGTCAAAAACGCCTCCTCGGTCAATTGTTGACGAACTTTGACAATTAAGTACTGGCGATCTACTTGGGTTACACCAATATTTTTTATGTCCACGGAGAGCCCAAAACACGCTCTTTATATTTATTATAAAATGCCTTGGCTGTATAAAATATCCTTTGCGGTACGTTTACGTTAATATTGTGCAAAAACCAAAAAGTACCATTTTTGAAATTGATTTTATCAAAAAACCCATTTTTTATTTTTTTTATTTTTTGTTCAAATGTAGATATGATTGTTGTCTACACGAAAATCAAGCCTAGAAAGTGTATATTTTGTTTGTATGTCCTACATTTAAGCATCAATATCGTACAAAAACGCGTTTTTACGGCTCGAAATGGACTTGCGAATTGCGCGTCTTCACAAGCTTGGAAATAGCTTTTTTTCTTTTTTTCAACGTTCCCACATAAAAATGAAATACAGTATTTCCACCCTGATATATTTATTGATTATTTAAATTTTATTATAGGCGGCAAGCTATATCGGAGGAGTTCCAAAAAGAGAAAGCAACACTTCTTAACAGACCAGCAGGTGTCGTAAATTTTTAACGCGTAGGAGTCGGCAGACGTCTTATTGATTCGGGACCCTCATTGGCCTGCATGAACGTCCCGCCCTTTCGGAGCCAGCAGATGACCACGACCTTTCGCGCTCGTTGTGTTAGATGGGACGGCCCGTGAGAGTAAAGCGAGCAGCGCACCCTGTGTCACGAGGAGTGAAATGGTACGATTGTGTCGTTGACGCGGCGAACAGTGACAGCCACCCAGGAGGAGTCTGTCAGATTATTGCACAAGGGAAAGCAAAGGAATCGTTGCCTGAAAGGATGAGGACACCACGGCCTTACAATGTCGACGGTCAACAACTGTTCTGCCAGCCAAAACGCCGCGTGCGCGCTAAAACCGGCGGCGCGGGACAGAAATTCCGCAGACGCACATACGAAGATGGGCCGGTTTCGTTAGGGATGTGGGGAAATTTGAAACCAGCCATCCGTGCGTGCGTGAAACGATACCACCTGTTTGCCCTAGCTTCGAGCGCCCTATCCTTACCTTGAAACGGCCGTGCTCTCTCTCTCTCTCTCTCTGGGGAGATCCGATAGCACCGAAGGGTTATCTATTAAACTTGAGGAAGAAAACGAGAAGGGAGTGTTTAAGTTTAATTATCCCCACCAACCCGCTCGTTCTGTCCTTATAAAGGGTTATCTCTTTTGGAAACAGCAAAGCCCGGAGACTGACATTAAAACGAGCGTGTTGGTAAATATACTTGTGTTTGTATTCTGCCCGGAGACTAGCTGGGTCGAAGTCAGCCTCCTTGTCAACTATAACCGTTTGTGAAGAGTGGGCTTCTCCCGAGATGAAACGTTAGCGCCGGCTGACGTGTTCTTTTGAAAAAGGGAAGGGGAAAGAGAAAGTTTGAGTAACTGCAGAAACTACCTCGAAAGCTCCTCTCCCGATATGAAGCTTGAAGCATAGTCTCGGTTACCTTCTCGCGCATCGCCTGCTCGAATCTATTCTTCACTTTCTTTCGTACAGCCACTGTTCCGCACAGCCGTCGTGGATGTGCGTAATAGAGGGAGGAACAAATTCGAGCATCATCTGGACGCCGTCATCCTGCCAGACTTCAATGTCGTGGGGCCGACTCGTGTGTGTTTCTTCGCCCCGCTGAACTTTGTTTCTCAGGTGCGGTTTTTTTTCTGAACGTTTTTTTTTTTTAATGTTTTCTTACTAACTGCTTGTTAGCAC